GACTTCTGCAACTCTGCCATGAAGTCCTTCTCGTCGAAGAAGTACTCAGCATAATAGCTTCTCCACCACTCCTCAAAGGATGGTGAGCAAAGGAAATTAAGCTGGTAGTCAAACAGCGAGAGGATTGTTCGACCAGCATATCTTCCGATATGCTTGATGGCAGTGTCTTCTGTATAATCGTTGCAGAAGTACAACATTGACTTCTCTCTTTGAAAAATAGGAGAAGGCAGGGTTTGGATGATACCAAACTGGCGAGATACCAGATTTGGTTGATAGGCGAGCAGACTCAAATGAGTCTTGGAACTCTTAAATCGAAGAGGCATGATCCTGGGTGTCAGGAACGCCTCCCAAAGTACAGTGTGCTCATCGACATTGGGACCACTCGACTCCTTTGGATGTGGCCTTGTAAACCATGCTGACCCCACCCTCCGTTGAGCAAATGGAGCCATAGTTGAAACAAATTCCTTCCTTTGAGCGAACATCAGAACGAAGTTAGTGAAGGTTTGTTGAAACTCCAGCCCATCTTCCACAGGTGTCAGTAGAGCCAGCCTAATTCCTTCGATACGTCTATTAGCTATCGCTGGGGCTTGTTCATTTATCTGAATCTTCTTGGGTAAGAAAGATTCGAAAGTGGCGTTGAGCCACAGTTGAAGTAGCCAGAAAGGCCCAACGAGCAGCAAGCTGGCCCTATCTTCGATATGTTTCAAGAGAGTAACCCCATTGCTGATTGAGTCATAAAGACTGGCCAGAATTAGTTCTGCCAAACAAATGTTTTGGCGGTGATGCAGTTGGGTGGCAAGAGTGACCATCTTTTTGGTCACTTGTAGAGACTTCGAGCAAAACACAAAGCGAGTTAGCCATAAGGCTAGAAACGCTATGTGTTCGACATCCGACACTGTATCCGTCGACCTGTCGTGATAATGGTTGATAAAGGTGGTGTATGTTGGCTTGGTCTCAGAGAAGCCAATTTGGTCCTCCGACATCTCCTCCGGGTTGAAGTAATCTCCGGTTGGTCGAAGGCCAGTAATGGCCGCTACGTCGAAGAGTGTGGGGGTTAACATCCCACATGGAAGGTGAAAGGTGAAGTGAGAGTAATCCCAAAACAACAGCGAAGCTATAAGCATCTCTGGGGAGTAGTTTAAGCCCGTCTTCGACAGCATTACTAGGTCGAAGATTCCCATTTCCTTCCATACTGGAGTTTGATGTTTCTCCAACTTTGTTAGCCAAGCAATATAGTCAGAGGTCAGATTAGGGCAAGACCTGAAGACCCTAACACTTCTGTTGAAGAAACGGAGGTCGATTTTCTCGCGTGTAGGGTCTTCGTTGTCTTCTGCATCCTTTTTGGCGCATGCTACTGGCTTGAGTTTCTCGACGATGGGGAAATAGCTCTTGATCTTCAGAGCTTCAGAGATGCTTGGGTTCATGGGGCCAGACATTGCGAAGATCTGGTTGGAGTATCCAACCGGAATCATCAAGTGACGCGAGTAAGCATCGCGAACGGAGATGTCAGAAGGTTCAGGAACCCTTCGTTTCCCTGTAGAGTTCACTACCGGAGCAGTAACAAAGACTTTGGGTTTAACAAGTTGTTCAGTTGGTGCGTTAGTCTTGGGGGCAGTAGAAGCAGAGGCCATTGTTGAGGATGAAGATGAAGTGAAAAAGGAAGAGTTTTTCTGCAAAGAGAGCAAGTTTGTACGAAAGCAAGGGAGTTTGAGGGCTAGTTTGCGTAAAAAGTCCCACAATGGGATATTCACTACTGTTTATAGTAGTGGGAGAAATTCCCAATAACGAGGACATTAAATGTCATTTAATGCTGCAGGAATTAGTGGGATGCGTGGCAGCATCCTGTTGTTTTGGCCGTTTCTGCAGAAACAGAGAGACGCAGCGTGCGTCCTCGTTTTTGGGATTTGTCATAATGACAAATTTTGAAGTGACGTTTGGTACTGCACGCCGTACTGAAAGTGACGTCCTAGGATCAAATCAATGATGGTTTCTTGGGATTGCCAATAGTTGGTAAAAAGCAACCAAAAGTGCACAAGTTAACTTGTGACTAAGCGTGGAAAAACAGGTGTCGAATGGCGTTTTCAAAGAATGCCTTTTTCTTTCAGAGTCGAAATAAGGCATTCTTGGGGGGCAATTTGTTGGCTCCTAAATTCGACACCTTTGATTTGATTGATGGCAGCCATTAAAAGTTGAAAGATGCTTTCGACTGGCTAAGCCTGTCGAAGTGCCCGTCGAAAGATGGCAAAATACTTAGAAGATTTCTTCCAAGGAAGAAGGCTGATTGCCTTCGACGTCGAAGGAGTTTTCGTCGAAGACGTTTCTTGATGAAAGTGTTCGATGGTCCAGAGTGGAGCAGTTTGAAATTCAAAGCTTTGGGGGGAAAACGGTTTCCAGCAGTTACTACGTGCAAACGTGCAAGGATCTGGAGCGTCGAGCATGGAGAACGTGCCAAGTGGCTTAATCTCGAAGCAGTGTAACTGCCCGACGGTTACTTGGAATGTTTTAGTATAAATAGGAATAGACATGCAGTTTCTCGTGGGTGTTCACAAATAGATACATAGTCACTCATTTAGATTCAAGTACCCAGTGTGAGCGAAAGAATTGTTGAGAAATGTATGCGTGAAACACCAATTTTATCAATTAAAGTCATTTACTTTTCCAGTATTTTACTTGCTTTTCTCCTTTAAATTCCTGTCGAACCTTTACTTTAAAGCCTTGTTTATTTTACCAAGCCTTTCCTTTATGCAATTTACTTGAAACATTTTACTTAAAGCCTTATCCACCTTAATCAAACTTCAAAATCAACCTATGTCCATAGGATCAATCTGATCGATCCTGCGAGTAACCAAATAAGTAACCATTTGGAGGATCAGCGGTTGTTTACCAAAACCCAAGGTAAACAGTGATCTAAGTAAGTAACTAAGAGCCCATGGATAACCATGGATAGAAAGGGTTCTAATACCTTCCATTTATATAATATACTCCCCGAACCCAAGAAAACATCTCAAAGGTCTTTCCTGTGCTTTTTGACCTTTCCTTAGGATAAAATAAAAAGTCGGTGGCGACTCTTGATAAACCGAAACATTTGCGAACACAAAATGCAAAATCCCAAGTCAGTTCTCCCACCGTATCACAGAAAACATACAACATGTGTCAATCCGTGGCTCGCATGTGTCGATCTATAGAAGTATTTTTACTTCTATGTGTCGCCACATACTGAAAAAAGTAATTTTCCAAAAATGTTTCATCATGTGTCGACCTATGGACTCTATGCACCGACCTGTACTAAACAAAATATATATTTTCAAAAAATGCTTCAATATATGTCGACCTAAAGAACACGTATGTCGACATATGCGTATCTTTTTCATAAAAACACTTGACTTTCAACATGTAAAACATCTCTAACATGATTTTAAGTTTCCTAAAGATAAGAGGCACATCTAGACATAGTATGATAGGTCCAATATACACAAATGTTAAGTCCTAATTTTAACATCATTCAAAATATCTAAAAGGATAATGCACTCACAACAAGAAGACATCATTGTTTCTAGGCATAGGGCCACATGTCCAAGTTCCATTGCTAAACATTGCTAATTACGAGGAAGATATTTAATGTTCCTGTTTTCAATGTTATTCATGTCCCATTGAAGTTTTTCCCACTTTCTTCTGCAGAAGCCGAACTAAATACATGTATAATAAACCCTCATTCTACAAGTATGAACAAGGGCTTGGGACACAATTGTTCTGGTCTTCTTGCAATGCCTACGACGATAGGCCCAATAGTAAGCATTATGCAAAAACGCACGCTGGACATGTCACCCTAGTTAAGGGTTCGCGATTCTGGCCTCCAACATACTTCTCAACATTGGAACTTATCGAACAATCACCCACATAAGGCGTTGGATCTCATGGGGACAATTTTAACGCCTCGTCTTATATAAAATGCAACATGCACCATTTCAAGTATTCAGTCATTCATACATTCAAACTACTTTTAGATTCACTCACTTACTTGAGCATTAGAGTGATAACCTTTCAGATTTATTCATGCTCCGTCATACCAAAAATTCACTCCATTGTATCTAAACTCAAGTCCATTCAATATTCATCTATCTTTGGTTTCTGTATGAAACAAGTAATTTATTATAAATAAAGAAATAAAATAAAAAATAAAGGAAGATAAAAATCTATAAATAAAGTATGCATGATCAAGACAAAAATCTATAAATAAAATATGCATTCATAGAGAGGGATGACACACTCATCATACTTGTTGCACATTCTATTATTTCCTTCAATAGAAGAACCCCCAGTCCGAGGAAGGACCCACCTCAATGAAGGCATGATCAAGCCCACTATTGTCGATGAAGGCAAAGACAATAACCAATGACTCTTGATCGACCCACATAGTTGAGTTGTCTTTTATCACATCCAGAGTTTTTAGACGATAGTTATCCATTTAATAATCTCGCCAACATATAAAGAGAAACAAACATAAGTATATGAATCTGATATAAAATAAAAAGTTTCACATCCCCGTAAAAATTCATCTATAGCAAAAAAAATTTAATGGCCAGAAACCCTTAAGTAGATATCGCCACCTAATGTCCCACCATAGATGGTGAGGTTCTCCTTCAAAGGATGTTGATAGAGATAAAATAAGTCATAAACATAGAAAAGAGACTTCTCAAGATCCACAAGCATATAAAAAGGGAGATGGTAAGTCCAAGACTCTCTATATATCTTACAACAAAGGCAACAATATGATCCACGTTAATAGATATTAGGAAACACGAACCACACCACTAACGGTCGAGATCTTGCATTATATAAGTAAGAATACTTGAATACTCTAGTACAAGAAGGCATCATTGCTGCCAATAATAGGGCTTCACATCGAGGTTCCTCCACTAAATGTTGCTAATCATGAGGAAAATATTTAATGCACATGTTTCAATGTTACTAATGTCCCATCAAAGCTCTTCTACTTTCTTATGCTAGAAGCCGAACTAAAGACATGCACATCGAACTCTCATTCTACAAGTATGAACAATGGCTTGGGGAGCAACTCTTCTGGTCCGCTCGCAAAGCCCGGGACAAAAAGTCTAATTGCAAAGATTGTGAGGAAAGACACACATAACATGTGAGATTCACCTCAGTAAAGGGAACATGATTCCGACCTCCAATATACTTTCCACCGTTGGATCTTATCGAACGACCACCCATATAAGACACTGAATCTCATGGAGACAACTTTAGTTGTCAATCTTATATAAATTTAACATGTGTCATTTCAAATATTCATTTATTCATACATTCAAACTACTTTCTGACTCACTGACTTGGATGTTGAAATTTTAATCTTATAGATTTCTCCCCATGTCATCATACCAGGAATTCACTCCACCATATCAAAATTCAAGTCCACTCAATCTTCATCTATCTTTGGTTTTTGTATGTAACAAATAATTTATTATAAATAAAGAAATAAAATAAAAAATAATATTTAAAAAAGAAGAAATAATAATATTAAAAATAATAAAAGTTATTTATTTTCGGTAAGTGTCAAAATTCTAAATACAACAAATAAAAAAAAAGAGAAAAAAGAATATGCATTTTTTACACTGTCAATCAATTAAAGATACATATCTAATTTGAATATAATTTTAATTTTTAAAAGCTAATATGATACGATAAATATAAGAATTTTAATTGGTTATAAGTGTAAAATTGATTTATAGTGTGAGTACATTTCCTTTAACCTCTGAAAAGAAATGAAAAAGAGTAGTATTATTTATTTTAATTTTTTTAATGTAAAATGAACTAGTATGTTTTATAATTTGTGAGAAATTAAGAAGCTCTTGTATAATTTGAGAATAGAGGCACGTGCGGTTCATTCACCTCTTTAAATCCGTTCGTTTCCGACACACGTGCATGTGGCAACCACACGTCTTCGCAGCTCTTCTCATCTTCCGGTACTCTCTCTCTCTCTCTCTCTCTCTCTCTCTCTCTCTCTCTCTCAACGCTTTCGGTTTTCAATTTTTCTTCTTCTGAATTCAATTGTATTCGTTTTCTTTTCAATGAATGAAATGAATGCATTTATCGTTAGGTTTTTGTATTCATCCATTCATGCTTCATAATTTCTCAAATATTGAGTTATTATTGATTGATTGGTAGCCACTTGTTATTATTATTGATTAAGTTACAATTATCTATTACAATTCATGTTTCTGTGTTGTCTGAATTTGAAGCTCTAGAGCCTTCCAATCCTTGATATTGTATTTGCATTTCTAGCTCTAGAAGCTTCCAATCCTTGTTACCATATGGAAATTTCTGATGTTAATAAGTAGCAAATAGCAATCTTGTCTTATATTTCTTTGTGTATTATTGACTAATGTAATTGTAAAGTGTTTCTTTGGGGAAAAAAAACATAGTTGCTATGTTATATGATTAATTTCGTGTGATTTGTAGATTTTTCACCTTGTTGCTAGAAGCAATTGTTTCAACAGTTACAGTAGGAGGAAATGGACTTCTTTTTAAAGGGAATGAGTGGAAATGGATCTGATTGCCCCTTTGATGTGAGAGACATCCAAAAGTGCCCGTTTTTGAGAAGTATCGACGAACTTACAAACTTTTCTTTCTCTTCGACGAAAGTCTCCATTCCTGTAAGTTAATGTTGTCTTGCTAGTTTGATTGAATTCAGGTTAATATTTGAGATGATAATTGTGTTCTTTCTTGTTGTTCAGGCGCGTGGATCCACGGGTCCTATCTTTGAAGATGGTCCTAGTTTTGATTTGGCTTTTAAGCTGTTTCATGGGAAAGACGGTGTCATTCCACTCGCTGAGAGACCTGACTTTCAGAGCAAGGAAGCTGATTCTATGCCTGTTTTTAACCCTTTGGCTGGAAAAACTGCTACCATTAGTCTATCACCGTTTGGATTAGGTGGTCCGTTTAATTTTGGGGATTTTTCTGAGAAATGGAAGAAGCAGAAGAAATCTGATTTATTAAACAAAACGGAACATTCATCTCAGGTAAAAATCAGTTTCTTGATACTGGATTTTCCATTTTTTTTACATGAACACATACTTAGGAGTGTGCTTAGCAAAAGGGAAATCCATTGTGAAATTTAACATCTCTGCGTGAAACTAAATCGCGGTAGGAAACATGTTATGTTGTTATAGACCTAAGTAATCTGCATTTTGATTTATACCATAGCTATGATTTTAGTGTCAATGTTATGGATCACAGATTCACGAGGAACGTTTCAATATGTTTAATGTTTTTCCTTTCTACCGCCTAGTAATTATTTTCGATATTTGAAAAATACTTATATTGGGTTTCAATATGGTTAATGTTTTGGTTTTTGCTTCCTATTAATTATTTTGAACCTTTGAAACATGACTTATATTTGGTTTTAATCCTTTCTCTATGGACCTTCAATTCCAGAATGGAGATATATCAATGCACGGAGCGCTTGGAGATGAATGGTTTGCAAAGGGAAACTGTCCGATTGCCAAGTCTTATAGAGCCGTAAGCCGTGTTATGCCCCTTGTGGCAACAGCTTTGAAGCCACCAACTGCCATGAAAATTAAATGTCCAGCAGCAGTTGTTGCTGCAAGGGCCGCCCTAGCCCGTACAACCTTTGTTAAAAACTTGCGCCCTCAGCCTCTTCCTGCAAAAGTGCTTGCTATTGCGGCGTTAGGAATGGCTCTTAATGTGCCCATGGGCATGTGGAGGGAGCATACCGTAAAATTCTCAGTGTCTTGGTTTGTAGCTGTGCATGCTGCTGTTCCCTTTATAGCCATGCTTCGGAAGTCGGTACTGATGCCTAAAGCAGCAATGGCATTGACCATTGCAGCTTCTGTCCTCGGGCAGGTTATTGGCTCAAGAGCTGAGCGTATCCGAATGAAAGCAATAGCTGAGATGGGAAAGGCGACTACGGTAACCACAAGCAGCATCACAACTATAGATAACCCCAGAAAGCTTGGTGACTTTAGGAGCAGTCGCTGTGGTGCAGAAGGAGTGATTCTCAACTCAATTCCTGTAAAGGATGCTGGTACGAGCTCGACTGCAATTCAAGCATGATTTTGAATAATATTGACGATCTTAAGTGATAAGAAAATGGATTATCAAAGATAAAAAAATTATGTACGGTTTATATATAGTATACAAAGAAATCAGGACATACAGGTACTTCGCATGCAGAATATAAATATACTACATGCACAATTGATCAATGAATTCTGATAGAATTTTCATTATCTTAAGTTATCCTTATTGTCGAAGCTGTCGTTGAAAGTACCCTGTGCTTGCACGATCAAACGAAATAATAATAATAATAATAATAATAATAATAAAAAAAAGTACCATAAGAATGGTGATGTATCAGTATACGAGTACATACCTAATAATTTACACATATTTCATTATCTTAAAAGTATCCAATTTTAAGAAGTGTATACCGATTAGATTGTTGAGTTTCTTGATAAAGAAAATAGAGGCCTTCTTAACCCATGTGTTTTGAAAACCGAAGGCTTGTGCTGAATTACCTAAGATGGCCATGATCCATCAGAATGGTGCTGCGGGCAAAGACAGTTAGGTTTCATTGATGGAACACTCAAGAAACCAGGAACATAATCAGCATATTGCTTTAACTGGGAGAGAACTGATCCAACTCTACATGGAAGCTTCTTGCACAAATCAACAACACAAGATGTGTGGCTCCATCTGAAAGAACGGTTTGTCCAGACCAACGCTCCAAGAATTAATCAATTGTGGCCCATGCTCTACTTAATGCAGAAAAAAGATGATTTACGCGTTACGGAATTTTATACCAAATTCAAGGGTATCTATGAATAGTTTTAAATTTGTTACAACCATTATCATAGTGTTCCCGTGGAACCTCTAAGGAATTGATAAAACGAGAAAAAGATAAAAAATAGTTCATATTTTCTTTGGTTGTTTTGACAATGAGCAATTCGCCCATGCAAAAACCACCATTCTCAACTCTGAACCAGTGCCCTTGTTGCAGAAGGCTATCAACATTGTTTTGAGATAGGAAGCCCGATGCCTTGCTGAGAAAGACAAGATAAAAAATAAACTAGATGCCAGGAGCAACATTCTACTGCAGTGGCAGTAAACAAAATTGGCAAGACGGATTCAAGCTCAGGTGTGATCATTGTGATAAAATTGACCACACAAAGTCAAAATGTTTAAAAATAGTGGGACACCCATCCAACTGGGACATACTCAGTGCAACATGACAATGTTGGACATGATGCTACTCAATTGGAAGCTTTTGGTGGAAACCGGAAAATGGAAGGCCCATAGGCAACAATAATTAGTCGGGCGCCACATGAGACGCCCATAAGAAATGAGAATTGTTAGAGGTACCTTATGAATTGCTACCAATTCTAGAGATGTATCTCTGGACAAATCCAAAAACACAAACCACATTCGATTCTGACCATGTCTCAAATATAAGATTAAATTTATTCTGAAAATATATCTCTGGAATGTCTTTGGAAATGAATCTCCGAAACCCAAACGCTAGATTGTATTATATGTTGTATTCTTCTAGGTTCTGGTATGTCATAGATGGTTATTCTTAAAGGTAAGTTTGACACTTTTCTAATCCACATTTAAGAATTGCCGATCACTTATTTTATTTCTTTCGAGTATCATCTCTGGCTTCATATCTCTCAATGACTTGGGCATAGGTTGACGCATTCCATCTATCTCGTTTTCCATCATAGTCAAGCTCAAAAGTTTATACCTCTTTTCATCTGCAGCAATGTGCTTGTTTGTATGTTTTGCTCTTACTTTCCATGTATGCTCCACATCTATAAAAATAAAAAATAAGATGAATATCAAAGTAATCCTAAATTTGTAAGAGGAAGCAAACCTAAATATATGCAGATACAAGTAGGGCCATCAAATTTTATAATAAAACTAAACAATATACGTCCACTAAACTAAGTTAAGTAATTAGCTCTAATACTTATAAACCTAATATGCAATGCAAAGTAGATGGAGTTAACCTCAAACATCTAACAGAATCAACCAATAGGTGATTTTGACAAAGATCATGCATTAATCCAAGCTTGTAAGAAAACTAGAAAATTTTAGTTAAAAGATTTTGTGTGGGTTGTATTAGTTGGACAATGTTTACAAACAACATAACACAATTTTGATACTCATAAGAGAGTTTACAAGGCACAAACACAGTCCAAGACATATGTAGTTAAATAATAAGTTTTAAGAATTTACAGAAGTATACTTTCGAATTTATTTTAAAAATATATTTTCGGATTATTTTCTCTCTTTTATGTATGAATTTTAGTCTAAATAGATATAGGGTGAATCCGAAAATATATCTCCGAAATAAATTTTAGGAAAGAAATAGAGTGAGTCTCATTTAAGACGTATTTTGTCGTTAAAATGATGTATCCGAAGATGTATTTCTGAAATTTAAAAGAAGTTTTCGGATTTTCATAGAGTGCTTTTCCACCATACAGGGAGGGATTAAAAATTCCCAGAAAAATAATGTGGTAACAAGTGAAGGCATGGCTGGTTATAACGAGAAAGCCAATGAATTTTAAATAGAAGCGCATCACACCATATGACTCATCATCATACTCCCTTATAAAAGAAGTATAGATAATTTATAAGTTATTTTAGGGAATGCTCTTTCCATCCTATGGGGTGCGCCCCACATATTTGAAAACTCGAAAAGTCCTTCTTTAGTCTGGAGATGCATCTCCTCACGCACCTAAAATCACACAAGCTCTTGTAATTCAGTCACACACTCCATTTTTGCCACAATTTGGTCAATAAATGTATCTCCGTAAATTTTTTAGGTGTATTCGGAAATACATCCCCGAACAATCCTCTCCAACCAAATATAAATACATGTACATATCAGTTACCTATTTCGATTGCACTACTATCTAATGTAGTTTAAACAACTTATATTACCTAAATCATCGTTCTAAACAAAAAAAAATGAATGAATTTTGAAAAACTTACCAAATCAAAGTTGTGGATGCGAAAATTGAATGGAGTAAGTAACTTTGCAACAGATGAAGTAGAATGGATTGAGAAGTTTGAATGGATAAGAAAGAGCTCAAACGATATTTTTCGAGCGACTTTTTAGAAAATGAAGGAGGAAGAGAGAAGGATCTGGTTCGATCATATGAAATAAAAGCGTCCGAAGACGCATCTCCGAAAAACTCCCTGATTATTAATTAAATTTTAAATTAAGGATTTTTACAGAGATGTACCTCCAAATTATTCGCATATGCATACAGAGATGCATCTCTAGATTTAATTTTAACAAAATATAGTGACTCATCAATATGCGCTGAAAAGTGTGTAAAAAAGATGCATTCAAAGGTGTATCTCTAAATATTAGGGACATTTGTGACTTTTTAATGTGGTAAGGGAACATCCATAAGGGTGGAAAAAATAATCCCAATCGTCTTATATCACAGTTCCAGATAGGAATATAATCCTGATAGAAAATCAAATGAAAATTGTTTTTATAATATATATATATATATATATTTTATATATATATATATATATATATATATATATATATATATATATATATATATATATATATATATATATATATATATATATATATATATATATATATATATATATATATATATATATATATATATATATATATATATATATATATATATATATATATATATATATATATATATATATATATATATATATATATATATATATATATATATATATATATATATATATATATATTACTTGCAAGTTGATATTTATAAACAAACTAACCATGATCTAGACTATAGAATAACTTAACATCCAAATTTTTATGTGATTTAGAATTGAACCCACGAGGAAGACGATTGAATCAAATGATTTGTTGGGTGTATGTACCCATAGAGAAGATGTAAGGGACTTTACTGTAGAAATTTGATAGATATGTGAACATATTTCAAAGCGATAATGGAAGAATTATGAATTCTATTATTCAAGCTTTTCTGAGAAAAATGTATCATGCCTGAAACCTCACATGTGATCACACCTTGTTATAATGAAGAGAATATTGCACTATGCAAGCTTAGCTTGCATGCTTCATTGATTGATTCAAGAGAACTATGATCTCTCTCTATATATTGTATGGTTTGTTGTAACTAACTTGAGAGTTAGTTATTTTAACTACCTAATCATACTACTCTACATCAAGGTTTACTATGATCATGCAAGCTTCATATTTGAAGCTTCATGATCTTACTCTAATACTCTCCCTCAAACTCACGGGGGATCGAAAACATACATCTTGAGTTTGTCACGAAAAGAAGAGAACATGACTGTAGGTGGTGGTTTAGTAAGGGCATCATCCAATTGAGTATGTTCTGGAATATGTTGAATTTGAAGCTGATTGGAAACCACCTTCTTGCACACAAAATGGATATCCAGTTTAATGTGTTTGATTTGTGCGTGTAGAATTGGTTTATGAGCAAACATCACTACACTAATGTTGTTACAGGAAAGTGGGAACCGAGTGCTCGTTTTAAGCTCAGAAAGGAGTGATTGAAGCCATAATAGTTCAATGGTGGTGTGAGCTAACACACGGTATTCAACTTCAGTGCTTGATCGTGCCACCAGTACCTGTTTCTTGGAGCCGCATGCTACGAGATTCGGTCCCAGAAATACACATGGTCATGATGTAGAATGCTTGTCATCTGGATCACTAGTCCAGTTTGAGTCATTGTAAGCACGAATGGATAATTGGGTGAGTTGCATGGTTGGAACAAGACGATGACCATGAAATTTCGTGCCACTCAAGTAACGCAAAATGTGTTTGACAACAAACTAGTGAGATTCCAACGGTGATGCTATGAATTGACATGCCTTATTGATTGAGAAGGCAATATATGGACGCATGAGAGTGGTCTATTGCAAGGCACCCACAAATGAGCTATAAAGAAAAGGATTTGAGAGAGTTTCTGTGTCATGCTTGCTGAGTTTGCATTGACTGAGCATGGGTATAGCAACTCCTTTTATCTTAGTCATATTTACTTTGG